TAATTACTTTAGTTATTATTTTAATAATATTATTATATTCTATATCATAATTATATAATATATTATATGATAATAGTTTTTTTATTATATTAAATATAATAATAAATATATATTATATTATAGTATAATTACTATAGTCGTAATTTTTAACTATACACAGCAATTTAACCTCATAATTTATCAAACGCTATTACACTGATTTTGAAACCAGTACAACTACTACAGTTATAGTTTACCAAACACTCAGCTGCTTTTTGTAAAAGTTGTTTCTTCTTTCAACACAGCTAAAAGTAAATTTTTTTTAAATCTACAGCACTACCAAACTAAGTCAATATCTTCCCCATTGCCCCCCTGCCTGCAAGCTCCTCTAAGAACCAAGTCTCTAATTCTAAGCACCTCCTTCCAAAATTGGGAATCATGGGGCCTCGGTTCCAATGTAGCAAAATTCTTTCTTTTGAGATTTTTTCTGAATAAGTGAGTTTTGATTAATACCTATTATTGATTAACACTCTTTTAACTAATATACTTATTTAATTAAGAAATATTAATAAAGAGTAAATAGTAAAATTTCAGACTTATGTACTTTAAATGATATTTGTCTTTTTTCCTTATTTTTAAACTATTATTAATCTCATATTAGATTTTTTTTATCAACTGTTCTTATGTTGGAGCTAATCAAACAATTGAGTATCCCATCATATAAAAAATTTACGATCGAATTTTATGGTATTTCTCGTTTTGTTAATGTTCTACAAATTCTTCATATATTAGATAAATTTTTATTAAAGAAATCAAATTAACTGCAACAATAAAAAAAATTATTCATTATAAGAATGATTTAAAGTATATGTAATAAATAAATTATAAGTAATAAAAAAAAACACTTTTCTTCTTTAAGGTGTGGGGTATGGTTTTCTTTTTTTTTTTAAATATATGTACTTTCTAATTATTATAGTTAATGTTGTGTGGGAAAATGTGGATGACGCGTGGACAAACAACAGTGTGACACATGGCCTTGCTTTTCCTTAAGAGGCAACAACCCTCGACGTTGGGGACTCCCTTCCCCTCTGCTGCAGAGGAAGCCCAACTTAGGACGCCGACTCATCATCATGACGACAGGTCGTACCGTCGACCTTACGGCGGGAATCCTTCGAGAAGAAATCAATTGCCAAGAAAGACAATTGAGGCTGAGCAAATAGAGACGGCAAGAGGAATGCCCGAAGAGGGGAAAGCCTGACATCGCAAGTTGCGTGCGGAAATGGGAGATGTCTGCAGTACAAGCATTAAATGCAAACCCTTAAACTGTCCTACGGAGGACAGAAAAGGGTTACAGGTACGAACAGAGCCGTAATAGGAGACTAATTGGCTGAGTGAACAGTTCGCAAAAGTGATTAGTAGGCTACGGTATTGGCCTAGAAAGGCAGACCACTTGAGTGCTTTTCTGCCTATGAAGAAAACCCACCCGACCAAGGAAGCTCGGCTATAAAAGGGGAGAAGCCTTATACAGGAAAGAGGTTGGTTTTTCCTGAGAGAAAAGAACGAGAGAGCAATTGTTAGTGTAAATTGTAACAATCTCAAAAGGAATAGAAAACTACAGTGGATGTAGCTCTTCATTTATAAAAGCGAACCACTATAAATTTTGTGTGTTTTTCTATTTCAAGTATTTTTTCTCATATTGCTCACTACACAAAAAAATACCACAAACACTTCACTGCATATATTGAGTATAGAGTCAATATTAAGCCGATAATCCAACGGGATACCTAACGGTGACCCGGCCTATTTCTGTTGACGAGTTTTTACCGTCAACAATTGGCGACTTCACTGGGGAGAGAACCCAAAATCCCCGGTTCATGCGTTTGACCCCCAACGACGACATAGTCAGCAAGCATGCCTCCAAGAAGAAGGATTGAGACCATCAACCAAGGCAGCCAAATGGATGAAACCGCCACACATCTGGTGAATGACGGGATGGAGGAGGGTCACGAGGGTCCACCTCCAGTCAGAAATGAAGTCCCGCCCCCAGACGTGCCGCGGCCGGACCCTGTACAGATGCAGTCCCAACTAACCACTCTAACCGACTTGGTACGTGGACTAATGGTCGTAGTCGAGCGCTTGGACGGGAGGAACTCTATGCCGCCTCTAGAAGACGCCCCGAGGCCGCCGGGAGCTGCCATGGCTGAAAATGACAACCCCGGTGACCGCCAACATGACCTAGAGGGAGCCGGGGACAGCGAAAACCATAGAGGCCATCCTAGGCCTCGACCTTCCTAATCCTCCGGCAGCCGTCTAAGGGCCGTCAGGCTCCAGGCTCCCGAGGACCGGATAGCAAGAGGCCTAGGGAACCCCGAGGTACTACCCCAGAATCCAGAAGGAAACCCACCGGGAGACTCAGGGTCAGTGCATGCAGGTAGGCAGATAAGGGGCGGACCTAACGTGCAAAGGGCAGAGGCGGCGAGAGTAGCTGGCTCGGCCATCTCGGCAGAAGAAGCGCGCGCCATCATGGAACTTATGGCCAACCTAGAGCAAAAACTCACGGGCGTCGTCGCCGGCCTAAAAAAGAACATAGGCCGAGTGGCCGAAGTGGTAAACGTCGACATCACACCTAGCCACACGCACGACCATCCATTTACCGCAGAAATAATGGCGCCACCTCTCCCCGATAAATATAGGTCACCGTCAATCCCACCATATGACAGTCGAGGGGATCCCAACGATCACTTGGAGATGTACACAGGGCACATGCTTTTACATGGGTATGCCGAGGAGATTATGTGCCGAGCCTTCCAGAACCATTTAACAGACTCTGCCATAAGATGGTTTCGGACGCTGAAGCCAAACTCTATCTCAAGCTGGGATGAGTTTAAGGAAGCGTTTTCCCTCCAGTTCATAGGGGTTAAAAAATATGTCCTCCCAAACTAGAACCGGACGACGATATACTAGAAGCCAAACGAATCGTTGAGGGAGTGGCTTGCAAGATATGGGGAAGTTGTCGCCGCCACGATGGACATAACCGACCGGGAGGCCTTGATGGGGGGATTGTCTAGCATGAAGAAAATTACCCCCTTCAAGAGAGAGCTGAATCAAAAACCCCCGTCCAGCTATAAGGAATTCCTTGCATGAGCGTAAGGCTACATAAATGCCGAGGAAGCGGATGCGAATGACCCTGAGCACAGGTCCAATAAGAACAAGGGGACCGAACAAAGGTCGACGCCAGCAAAGCAGGATGAAAAGAAGCGACAAGGTGGAGGAAGCAGGGACAAGCAGCCCGCTTCGACATCAAACACTCCAGAAACCATGAAACCGAGGTAAGAGGATAACTGTAAGCCTCGACTGTTTCAAAGGTATGATTCCTACCATGAATTAACAGTAGGAGCCAAAGAAGTGTTCAATCAGGTCGGCCGCAGGAATCTATTACGCCGCCCAGAGCCAATGAGGTCAGACCCTAGCCGAAGGAACCAGAAAAAATACTGCAGGTTCCACGGCGACGTTGGCCACCACACCAAAGATTGCGCCGATCTTAAAGATGAGATCGAGAGAGTAATCCTTGAGGGGAGGCTGCAGGAGTTGAAAGCCGAGCGGAGACCTAGAAATGATGGCCACGGCGGCTAGAATGACGGTCGACGCCGAGACGAGAACCAGCGCCCAGAGGACCGAGAACCCGTTGGCGTCATACGAACTGTCCTCGGCGGCCCCTATATAGGAGGAGACTCAAGGAGATCTCAGAAGGACTACGCCCACGAGGCCAGAGGGGTTTACCATGAAAGGTTCTGGAGTGTCTCCGCCGTAAAAATACTAAGATTCAGCAGCGCTGACGTAGCGTTTAATGAGGATGACGCCAGCGGAGTTCACTTCCCCCACAACGACGCGTTGGTGGTAGAAGCCATGATCGGGAACCATACTGTGTGCCGGATCCTAGTGGACAATGGGAGCTCGGTAGACCTCCTATACTCCGACTACCTGGAAAAGATGGGGATTCCAAAGGAGCAGTTGGAAAAGACCTCCAGGCCGTTGTACGGCTTTACAGGGGACTCCGTCATCCCTCAGGGGACTATCCGGCTGCCCATAACCGCAGGGGAGAAACCTCGACAAGCCACCACAGTGGCTAATTTTGTGGTAATAAAGGGGGGCTCCCAGTACAATACCGTGACTAGAAGACCAACCCTCCAGGCGCTGAGGGCAATCACCTCTATTTACCACCAAAAAGTCAAATTTCCTACCCCAAATGGCGTGGGCGAAATGAAGAGCAACTAGTACGAGGCAAGGGTTGCATACTCCGATGCCCTGCGCAGATATGACCAGCCGGGAAGGCAAGAAGCCAGGATGGTTTATCAAAGTACCGTCGAAGACATAGATCCCAAGATCCAAGAGGAGGTCACATGGTCTCAACCCGTTGAGGAGCTGGTGGAGGTCCAAGTCAACGAGGGTGAACCAACCAAAATACTAAAAGTAGGCTCAGACCTAACCTCATCACTTAGGATTGAGGTCGAGGGCTTCCTCAAGAAAAACCTAGATGTCTTCGCCTAAAATCATGCTAACATGGAGGGTATCGACTCGGAAGTCATGTGCCATTGTCTGAACATTGACCCCTCATATCCCCCCAAGCGCCAGAAGCGTCGACCGATGAACCCGGAGAGGTACGAGGCACTAAAAGAATAGGTCGACAAATTGATCAACAATGGGTTCATCAGGGAGGCCCATTACCTGCGATGGGTCTCAAATCCCGTATTGGTAGTCAAGCCTAACGGAAGTTGGAGAACATGCGTCGATTTTAGCGACCTCAACAAAGCCTGCCCGAAGGATGGTTTTCCACTCCTTCGGATAGACCAGATGGTCGAGGCCACAGCAGGACATGAGATGCTGAGTTTTATGGATGCCTACTCTAGGTACAACTAGCTCCCCATGCACCCAGCCGACGAGGAGCACACATCCTTCATAACCAACAGGGGCCTCTACTGCTATAAGGTAATGCCTTTTGGCCTAAAGAATGTGGGGGCTACCTACCAAAGGCTCGTAAATAAGATGTTCGCTCAGCAGCTCAGAAAATCAATGAAGGTCTATGTTGACGATATGCTAGTAAAAAGTGCCAGGGCCACCCAACACGTCAACCATTTGAGTGAAATGTTTGGTATACTGAGAAAATACCACATGAAACTGAACCCCAAAAAATGCGCCTTTGGAGTTGGATCAAGGAAATTCCTTGGTTTCATGGTCAGTAACCGGGGGATAAAAGCTAACCCTGAAAAGATTAAAGACCTGCAGGATATGCGGTCCCCAACTAAACCGAAAGAGGTGCAGAGGTTGACAGGGTGTGTTGCCGCTCTAAAACAGATTTATATCAAAGGCGACGGATAAGTGTGTCCCCTTCTTCGATGCTCTGAAAGGGGTAGGCGTTTTGAATGGACACCACAATGTGAAGAGGCCTTCCAGAAGTTGAAGGAGCACTTGGGCAAACCCCCAATCCTGTCAAAGCCCATCATCGACGAAGAGCTTAGCCTATACCTCTCCGTGTCACAACACGTCATGAGCTCCGTTCTAATAAGATAATGAGAAAGGATCCAGCTGCCAATCTACTATGTGAGCAAAATACTCCTCGACGTCGAGTCAAGACATACCGAAATGGAACGCTTGGCCCTGCCTTGATGGTAGCCTCGAGGAAGCTTCGATAGTATTTTCAATCTCACACAATACGGGTTCTCACAAATCACTCGTTAAAACAGGCGCTGTAAAAGCCTGAAACTTCTGGTCGACTTCTCAAATGGTCGGTGGAGTTAAGCTAGTTTGACATTAAGTATGTACCAAGAGCAGCGATCAAGGGCCAAGCACTGGCCAATTTTCTGGCTGAATTCTCCTATAAACCGGCTCCCACCGCACCAGAAGAAGTTGAGAGGACAGAATGGAAGCTCTACGTGGATGGAGCATCGAGCGATAACGGGTCAGGAGCCGGTGTCTTGTTGATCAGCCTAGAAGGTCACAAGATTACGTCGGTGGTTCGATTTAAATTTAAGGCGTCGAACAATGAGGCAGAATACGAGGCGCTAATTGCAGGGTTGTGACTGGCCAGTCACTTGAAAATTGAAAGGCTCAGCATCTTCAGCGACTCCCAGCTAATCGTCGGGCAAGTGAAAGAAGAATACCAAGCGCGCGGTGAGAAAATGGGTGTGTACTTGAGGAAGGTAAAGGAAGAACTCGCCAAGTTCAAAAACTACGAGATACGTCAGATACCACGAGCCGAAAACACCAACGCTGACGCTCTGGCAAAGCTAGCCTCTTCAAAAGACTCCGACGCACTAGGGGTCATTCTTATTGAAGAACTGGAGCGGCCGACCATTGAGGAAATAATTGAGACATTAATCATCCAAACAGGCAAAAGTTAGATGACGTCGCTCGTCCAGTACCTGATGGAAGCAAAACTACCCAATAATAAACACGAGGCCAGACGGATCAGGTATAGAGTCGCCGAATACTTATTGTACGACGGTTTACTTTACCGACGAGGCTATTCGACACCTTTACAGCGGTGCCTGGACAATAATGAAGCCCGGAAGGTCCTCCAGGAAATCCACAAAGTAGTTTGCGGTAATCATACAGGGGGTAGTCTTTAGCTCTTAAGATTTTGAGGCAAAGGTACTACTGGCCCACGCTTAAGAAGGACGCATACCAATACGCTCGACGTTGCGACAAGTGCCAAAGATATGCTATAATTCCTAGAGCACCCCCAGAAAACCTAACCTCCATTATCAGTCCATGGCCCTTCGCCAAATGGGGGGTCGACTTAATCGGGCCATTACACCTTGCACCTGGAGGCTTTAAGTTTGTCATCATCGCAGTAGACTACTATACGAAGTGGGCAGAGGCAAAGACTCTGACTACAACCACGGAAGCAGCCTGCACCAATTTCATGTGGAGCAACATTGTGTGCAAGTTCGGGGTCCCCCACTCGATAGTGTCCGACAATGGGAAACAGTTTGATAATGCCTCAACACGAAGATTCTGCGACAGCTTGGGTATTCGAAATGATTTCTCAGCCCCGATACATCAGCAATCTAATGGGCAAGTCGAAGCAGTCAACAAAATATTAAAGTATACCCTAAAGAAGAAGCTCGACGATCTAAAGGGAAAATGGGTCGAGAAACTTCCCAAGATCTTGTGGGCATACAGAACGACGAGCCGAAGTGCCACGGGTGAAACGCCCTTTTCCATGACGTATGGCGTCGAGGTAGTACTGCCTATAGAAATTAAGACACCGACTCTAAGGACTGTAGTCTATAATGACGGCGGTAATACATAAGGCATGAATGGAGAACTCGACCTATTAGAAGAAAAAAGGCTCGACTCCCAGTTACGCATCGCTGCCTACCAGCAGAGGGTAGCACGATATTACAATAAAAAGTTCAAACAACGAAGGTTCGTCCCAGGAGACCTAGTATTAAAAAGGGTAACACAGAGTACAAAACCCAAAAATACTGGTCCTCTGGGCCCAACTTGGGAAGGACCCTACCGAATAAGAGTAGTGTTGCGTCCTGGCACCTACATTTTGGAAAGCCTCTCCGACAAGAAGATTCAACATCCATGGAATGCAGAACAACTACAGCTGTACTACCAATAATGTATGTAGTTTTTTAAACACATCTTAGTTACATTTTTGGCAATTTAAATAAATTATGAGTTCTTAGAAATATTGTCCAAAAGTAAGAAGAATTCACCCCTTGAATAAACTTGTCTGCTTAAAAAGTAAAGGTATATTAAACAGACAATGGGGCAGTAAGGGATTTACGGATCACGGGACCTCAAGGGGCAAAAGCTAACACCGACTCTTCCAAGGAGGAGAGGTGAGGAAAAACTTAAAAAATTTTATGAAATTTTCTAAGGCGATGACCCCAAGGGGCAAAAGCTAACGCCAACTCTTCCAAGGAGGAGAGGCGAGGAAAAACTTAGAAAATTTTATGAAATTTTCTAAAGCGATGAACCCAAGGGGCAAAAGCTAACGCCGACTCTTCCAATGAGGAGAGGCGAGGAAAAACTTAAAAAATTTTATGAAATTTTCTAAGGCGACGACCCCAAGGGGCAAAAGCTAACGCCGACTCTTCCAAGGAGGAGAGGCGAGGAAAAACTTAGAAACTTTTATGAAATTTTCTAAGGTTACGACCCCAAGGGGCAAAAGCTAACGCCGACTCTTCCAAGGAGGAGAGGCGAGAAAAAACTTAGAAAATTTTACGAAATTTTCTAATGCGATGACCCCAAGGGGCAAAAGCTAAAGCCGACTCTTCCAAGGAGGAGGGGCAAGGAAAGCAATGAAGGCAATTATGTAAAAATCCCAAATATTATAAAAAAAGAAATATATATATATATATGTCCCACATTACACAAAAATATATAAAAAAGAAAGCTTTAGGCCTCGCCGCCAGCCACCGAGTTGTCACCGTCACCAGGCGGGGAAGGATTGTCATCGTCAGTAGGAGGAGGATGAGCAACATAAAGGAAGCTCAAATCCCACTCAGGATGCTCTTGTTTTATCAGATCGACGATTTGCTGACCAGCAGAGTGAAAATCCTTGGTGCGAATGTCGATGAGCTCCGGAAAAGCCTTGAACTCCTCAATGATTTCCACACGCTTGGCGTCGAACATTGCTGCGGCCTCAGCTTCGGCTTCTTTCTTCCCCTCAGCTTTTCCTTCAGCAAAGCACCTATTCACCGCCTCGGTAGCTTCGACTGACTTCTTCTCAAAAATTTTTACCCGCTTTGTAAGATCCGCAACCGCAACAGTTAAGTTGGTCAACTCCTTCTGAAGGTTTGGCATCTTGGCCAATTCACCTTCCAAACTCCTCAGTTGGGCCACGACCACATCCCTCTCCTCGATGGCAGACGAGCACTTATTCTTAGCATCGTCAAGAAGAGAGTTAAGCTTGGCTTTCACGCTGTCCATCTCCTTATCACGTTCTTCAACCTTGACTAGATCAATAAGGTTGAGAATGGCAAGAACTAGGCCCTGAAAAATTAAAGGTCAGAAAATAAAGATGTAGAGGACGAAATCAACAAAAAGAAGAGACAGCTCGATCGAGGCTTACATGGATCTGGAAGAAGATATGCTTGTGCTGACGGTCAACCATAGAAGATTGGACGGCGACAATCCAGTGAGGCTCATGAAAATCCAACGGCAGGGGCAGTTTTCCCATATCAAACGACAGCAAAATGAAGGCGAGAAGATGAAGGGATACAATCCAAGGGCTCATATTCGTCTTTTCAAAATAAAGC